GTAAGCTGTGGTTTGAGAAGTTGTCCAGCTGCTGTTTGAGAAGTTGGCCAACTATGGTTTGATAAGTTTGCCAGCTATGGTTTGAGACATTGTCCAGCTGTGGTTTGAGAAGTTGTCCAGCTGCTGTTTAAGAAGTTAGCCAACTATGGTTTGAGAAGTTTGCCAGCTATGGTTTAAGAAGTTGTCCAGCTATGGTTTAAGAAGTTGTCCAGCTTTGTTTTAAGAAGTTGTCCAGCTTTGTTTTGAGAAGTTGTCCAGCTATGGTTTGAGAAGTTAGCCAGCTATGGTTTGAGAAGTTAGCCAGCTATGGTTTGAGAAGTTAGCCAGCTATGGTTTGAGAAGTTAGCCAGCTGTGGTTTGAGAAGTTGACCAGCTATGGTTTGAGAAGTTAGCCAGCTATGGTTTGAGAAGTTGATCAGCTATGGTTTGAGAAGTTAGCCAGCTATGGTTTGAAAAGTTAGCCAGCTATGGTTTTATGTAATGTCAAGAAAAGATATAAAACCGAATGAAAAGTATATCAGCAAGCTTCACAATCTATAACAAACACAAACAAAATGTGAACACTGCGGCTATGGAGCCCTTATCAACACATCTGTATCTAAAACAATACCACACAAATACACAATAAAACTGAGCTTAGTATCTCGAAGCGGCCAGGCCAGTGTCTTGTCAGTAGACTGACGAGACACGTGGGACCAGAGAATAAATACTCATGGGTAATTTCAGGGGCCATAACTGGAGGGTTTTTAGGTAAAACTGTATGGGCAGTTCAGTCCTTAAAAGGTTTCCTGCAAGAGTTGTGCATTTATGCCACATGGAAGAAGTACATCCTTGATATTGTTACGATTATTGCCTTCCTAGAACATTTGCTGGAACATGGGTTCCGAACTCATGGGCTGTGACCCCATGTGGTGTCAAAAAGGATTAAAAAGCCTATTTTCAATGTATGGGGTCGTGGGTCACTTTGCAACTTTCAAGTAGCGTCACAACTTTAGGAAATTTGGAACCACAAAGCTAGAACCTTCTGGAAGTGAAAGTTTTAATCCATTTAATGGGTCATCATCATCATGTGCCCTGCCAACTGGCATAGTCGCCCATGCATCTCCACAGATCACGATCCCTGGTTGATTGTAACAGCTCTCTTGGTGATATCCCTCCATGCCATCGTTTTAGCCCATCCAGCATCATCTCTCTCTTCTCATTATGTAGCCAAAGAACAGTGTCTCTTTTTTATTTAGTGGGTATGACAGTTATTTACATTGAGGCCAAATGCTGTGTCAGTGTGTATGACAGTTATTTACATTGAGGCCAAATGCTGTGTCAGTGGGTATGACAGTTATTTACATTAAGGCCAAATGCTGTGTCAGTGTGTATGACAGTTATTTACATTAAGGCCAAATGCTGTGTCAGTGTGTATGACAGTTATTTACATTGAGGCCAAATGCTGTGTCAGTGGGTATGACAGTTATTTACATTGAGGCCAAATACTGTGTCAGTGGGTATGACAGTTATCTACATTGAGGCCAAATGCTGTCTCAGTGGGTATGACAGTTATTTACATTGAGGTCAAATACTGTGTCAGTTGGTATGACAGTTATTTACATTAAGGCCAAATGCTGTGTCAATGGGCATGATAGATATATCTGTCATGTATGCTTGATGAGTGACAAGTCACGTGCTTGCAGCTTGAACTGTTGTGTTCATTGGTTTTTGCTCTTAGTAGAAGCACTCTTTAGTAGCAATCCAAAAAATGATGAAAATATGGGGGTGACTGCAGTCAAGCTAATACAAGGAATTTCAGGGAAATTTTACTAAAAAGCTTAACCAAACGGGAAAGCAAAAGAACATTCACAAAACAACACAAATAACTTAACTTTTCGACCGGGCAGCCTTTGATGTTTGACAAGCTGCCCGGCTGAAACGTTAAGTTTCATGGTACCAGGTGCAGTCATGGGAAATAAAATTTGGTCGGCATGATGCTGACCACATCACCCATCTTGTGTCGATTGGTCAATAAAATATAGGTCTAGCCCTATATGCTCTATACGCCTAAAGGCATGGAAGAGGGTCCTTTACTTACACTGCCTTCCCAGCAAGCATGTCATAAAAGTCACCTAATTGGGATCTTCCTTCAAAATTGGATTGCACCTTACGTGAGCGGCACAGAAAACCAACTGCACACAAATAAGCCAATAAAATGGATGTACACACAAAACTCAGGCCCTGGCACAATGCCAAAGTCCAAATGGACCAACAACCAAAACTTTGCAATGGAGGTTACAGGTGGTGAACAAAAAAGAAGAAGAAGATATGTGCAGTGTGCTATTGGCGTAAAAATGGCCTCTACCCCGCCCCCCTAAAAAAAGTCAACTGATTTTAACATCTAGATCAACAATTCTCAACCTCTGGGTCGCGACCCTTTTGGGGATCCAACGACTTTTTTCACAGGGGTCGCCTAAGACTATCAGAAAACACATGTTCACTGAAGTTATGGAGTAGCAGCAAAAGTAATTTTACATTGGGGGGTCACCACAACATGAGGAACTGTATTAAAGGGTAGCAGCATTAGGAAGGTTGAGAACCCCTGATCTAGATAAAAGTGACAAATGTTACCCACCCACTAGACTGTCCAGGCATGAATAACAGGTCTGACTATCTGTACCTGTATCTCCCTCAGGCGACCTTGCTTTCCTCCGGAAGAATGGAGTGGCCAGCAACTTGACAGGGGTCAACTTGGATAGCATGAACACAGACCAGCTTCTGCTGACGATGCACTCATATCTCGACAATAGTGAGGTGAGCTCAGCACCCTTTAGTCTTTCATCATCATCATCATCAGTCAACAGATGCTTAACAAAACGTCACGCTCTTCATGGCATGCCTGAAAGTCTCTCTTTCTCTAACCAGTTATCCAGCCCTTTGTGCATCTTCAGTGTTTTGTGTCTCATCCTTGTGGAGGTCGGCCTCAGCCTCGTTGTCCAGAATCTTAACTCTCCATTACCATTCTCATGAGGCCACCATGCTGCTTACATGGCCACATTTCCTTATAAGAACTGATTCTCCTTGATGTTTAGATCGTGAAGGATGTTATCGTTTTTCTTCTTCTTGGTTCATGGTATGCTGATAATTTTTCTATAGCATTTCAGTTCAAAAGCCCCTGTTTTCTCTGTCAAAGTTTGAGTGAGAGTCCATGACTCACTGTATTCCTTATCTGTGTATTAATAGGCTTGATGACACTGTGAGATAACAATAAGTTCAGTCAGATATTACACTGTTACTTAGATAAGAGGTTGATTTAGATACTTCACTGTTACTAGAATAATGAGTTGATTTAGTTAGACACTTTGCTGTTATTTAGATAACAGGTTGATTTAGACACTTCACTGTTATTTAGATAACAGGTTGATTTAGATACTTCACTGTTACTTAGATAACTAGGAGTTGATATAGATACTTCACTGTTACTTAGATAACAGGTTGATTTAATACTTCACTGTTACTTAGATAACAGAGAGTTGATTTAGATACTTCACTGTTACTAAGATAACAGGTTGATTTAAATACCTCACTGTTACTTAGATAACAGGTTGATTTAAATACTTCACTGTTACTTAGATAACAGTGAGTTGATTTAGATACTTCACTGTTACTTAGATAACAGGTTGATTTAAATACTTCTCTGTTACTTAGATAACAGAGAGTTGATTTAGATACTTCACTGTTACTAAGATAACAGGTTGATTTAAATACCTCACTGTTACTTAGATAACAGGTTGATTTAAATACTTCAGTGTTACTTATATAACAATGAGTTATGTTAGATACTTCACTGTTACTTAGATAACAATGAGTTGATTTAGATACTTCACTGTTACTTAGAAAAACATCACCCTGACATTTGGCCTCTGTATTTGTTACTGCCTTCTTCTCTTTGTATGTCTACCTCTGTCCCTTCTCTTGCTTTGCCTTTCTCTCTTTCCCTGTTTCTCACCCTCTGTATTTTGCCCTCCGTCTCTCCCTCCTTTTTGTCTACATTTCTGTGCTTACATCTCCTTCTCTGCTTGCCCCTTCTCTCTCCCTCCCGCTCTTTGTCATCTTGTTTCCTCCTTCCCCCTGTCTCTCTTCCCCCTCTTTCTCACCTCTCTTTCTCCCCTCTCTTCATCTGTCTATTTCTACCTGCCTGTCCCTCTTTGCCCGCTCTTTCTCTTTCTGTCTTTCACACTGTCTCTCCCACTCTACCTCAGCATCTGTCTTTCTCCCTCTCTTTGTCTCTCTCTCTCTCTCTCTCTCTCTCTCTCTCTCTCTTTCCTTCATGTACCAGGTCAAGATCAGACATAACATGACCAGCCTCCGGTGGACCAGCAGAGGGTAACATTATAACTATCTCAGACAGACTAAAGGTCAGTGACTGGTTCTGAGTAGTGGGACTGGTCCTGAGTAGTGGGGCTGGTCCTGAGTAGTGGGACTGGTCCTGAGTAGTGGGACTGGTCCTGAGTAGTGGGACTGGTCCTGAGTAGTGGGACTGGTCCTGAGTAGTGGGACTGGTCCTGAGTAGTGGGACTGGTCCTGAGTAGTGGGACTGGTCCTGAGAAGTGGGACTGGTCCTGGGTAGTGGAACTGGTCCTGAGTAGTGGGACTGGTCCTGAGTAGTGGGACTGGTCCTGAGTAGTAGGACTGGTCCTGCGGTCCTGGGTAGTGGGACTGGTCCTGGGTAGTAGGACTTTTCCTGAGTAGTGGGACTGGTCCTGAGTAGTGGGACTGGTCCTGAGTAGTGGGACTGGTCCTGAGTAGTGGGACTGGTCCTGAGTAGTGGGACTGGTCCTGAGTAGTGGGACTGGTCCTGAGTAGTATGACTGGTCCTGAGTAGTATGACTGGTCCTTGGTAGAAGGATTGGTCCTTGGTAGAAGGATTGGTCCTGAGTAGTGGGAGTTAAATTTAATCAAATGGTTTATATTTTTAAAAGAAATAATAATATTTGAATGCATTGTTATCTATATAGGTCATATGCCAAAGGAAGATTCGAATGGGCAATGTTGGGGATGGGGGATGGGAGATCTGTGATGACCTTAAAGTGCGTCCAAAACGTCCTTGCATTGTTTATTCATTTGGAATTAACTATGACTTCTCCTTTGACGACGATGTGGCCAGGCTGTATGGATGCCATGTGTACTCTTTTGATCCCAGCATGGAAAAGATGGAAACAAGCAACAGGTCAGTGCTGTAGTTTTCAGGACTTAAGTTGTATTTATTTTATAATATAGACATTGTCATTGAACTCTAGGCTAGGATTTGGCAGTCTTTTATTAGTGTTGCATTGTGCCAAATTAAGTCCACTATCATCCTCATTATCATCGTATCCTTTGCATAACATCACTGTCACCATGGTCTGCCTGAAAGAAACCTGGCCTTCTGCCAGCTTTTCTGCCCCATGCACTTTCCTATCCAAGGTGTCTCTGGTATGCTACGCCAATCTTCGTACTGCTTTTCTGATCCGGCAGATTCTGCAAGGTGCTTTATGCTGCCAGATCAGAAGAGCAGTGCTCTGCCTATCAGAGCTTTCCTCCTAGACCGGCTGCCAGCCAATGCTAAGGGTCAGATCTGTCCTGCCATAACATAAAGTTTTGAGGTTGCATTTCCTCTTCCTAGGATAAGGCTAATATCCTCCCCAAAGTGCTTCTACACCTGCAGCCCTTGGCACATTGTGGGATGTCAGGTTTGGTATATTTGGCGTTAACAGAAGTCAGGTAGTAATGGCTACCATTGTAAAATAAAGTACTGAGTGATTTATAGTCTTTCCCATTTGGTGATCCCCAGAACCAGTTTTAAGGGTCTGTGATGGGATTTACAGAAAACCCTAGAGATAGTGATGCACTGGGCAATGTGTGGTCTCTACAATACTCTCCTGGCTAGAGATAGTGATGCATTTGGCAATATGTGGTTTCTACAATACTCTCCTGGCTTTGTAGTATGGAGTAATTGTCATGGACCATATTGCATGCAGGGGCACATCAGGAAGGGAATGAGAATTGAGGAAGAAATGAGTGTCTGAGTAGAACCACACCATATACAAATGATGGCAGTAGCAGTCTTGAAATCCCATACTACAACTGTGGAAGACCTTTCTTAATGTGGACAGGTCTTAATAGTCACACTCACCATCACCAATGGCTGTGAATTCCATGCCTTATGGCACAGCATATCACTATCATCTGGAAAGGCAGAAAGATGCCAATAGCTGCATACCATCAACAAAGATAAAACTGTTGCCATGCACCAGCCAGCCCCAGGGCAAAGATACATCGAGCCTAATATCACAGTTGAATGGCCAAAGATTAAATGATGTCAGGAAATTTACTTATCTAGACAGCACCATAATTGATGAAGAAGTAAATGCAAGAATCTCTAGGGCTGGCATTGCCTTTGGCAGACTGTACACAAATGTTTGGAACAAAAGTGGCATAACCCTGCAGACAAAGCTTAAAGTACACAGAGCAGTTGTTTTAACTACACTGCTGTAGGCATGTGATAGATGGACTGTATACCAACGCCGGGCCAGAAAAGTAAACCACTTTCACACAGTCTGCTTTAGAAAACTAATGCAGATCAGATGGCAAGACAAAGTACCTGATACCGTAGTCCTTGAGAAAGCAGCCATGCCCAGCATCCACATTCTACTGATGCAGTATCAAATTTGTTGCGCTGGTCATGTGGCAAGCATGTCAGATCACAGGCTCCCAGAAAAAAAACTCCTCTATGTTGAGCTGCAAAATGGGAAATGGCGGGCAAAAGAAACGCTTTAAGGACACCTTAAAGTCTTCACTCAAAGCATTTGGGATGAATGACACCAATTGCGAGGCTGCCTCTCAAGACCAAAATGCATGGCGTGCAACTCTACACAAGGGTGTGGCTACATGTGAAGCAAACAGAACAGCAAGACTGATAAGGAAAGGATGGGCAGAAAGACGACTGCAGGAGATCCCCTCCCTGGCACAACACTCATATGTCCTCACTGTCCAAGAACTTTTCGGGCCCACATTGGCCTCATCAGTCATCTTTGTACTCATACTTGATGAAAAAGAGTGGTCGTTATCATCTTGATGGACAACACACATAGCTGCATAGGTAATTACTCAAGTTTACCCAAGTTCTTCAGACTAACAATACACAGTACCTAGCTAGTTAATTACCTCACATTAAGACTCACTGGGAACTAGACTTACTGTACTTAATTTAATTGTTCATCATTGGCATCACAGCATAAACAGTAACACTTTGTAAAGCCGCGTATTGCTTTCTGATACATACCGCACGCGCACACACACACACACACACACAGGAACATATAGTCGTAGTTTTGGCTGACTCTAGAGTCACAGTTATACTAGCTGTCTTTACTTTTATTAACATTTTCTAGCATGGGTCTACTTGAGAGGTCTGGTTAATTAAAAAAAAAAATCTTCTATGTGGATTTGAATCTGTGACTACCAGGACGGCAGCCTAACTTGATAGCTACTGTGCATTGCTACAACCATCAACTGTAGAAAACATGCATTTATAAATAATCGGCTGTCCTCACGGATCATTCTTCTCAATAACTTTTCTCTGTTGTTCAAGATTTCTTCTCACCCATGATGCAAGGCTGTCCTGAAACTTTCTGCTTATCTCTCTTCTTTTCATTAATTGTATCATCAGTTATTTCATGTTGCAGCTTTATCTTCTCCAGTTGAGGCCCAAAGATGTTCACTGGTACTTTTATAATAAACTTTTTTTGTGTTTTGAATCTTTAAAACCTTTACATTACACATTTGTCTGTGAATGGTATTTGTAAGATTATTTTTAAGAAATTTTTTTTTTCCAGTTGTTAGACTTTACAGTCAGATTTTCTAATTCCCAACATCTACCTTTATTCTGTTGTGCCATTATCAAACATAAGGGACTTGCAGTGCATTCACTTCTGTTTGCTGTTTTGTTGTTTTTGCTGTTGTTGATATCATGTATCTTGCACCTCTGGCATCCCTCAGCTTTGTCATCATAGGCTAACTATCGGATATCCTTGTTGCCTGGATCTATTTGATTCACAGTTCACTGCCTGTTTTAGGATAATTTGTCCACTTGTCCCAGAAACTGCACAATATATCACCATCTTCTTTTTCTAAGAAATTTTTTTCAGTAGAAGAAATGAAAAAATACCAGCTTTTAAAATAACAAATGCAAACTTATTTTACCATCTTTCAACAGATCCAGTCACGTACATTTTTATAAAATTGGACTTAGTGGTCAAACAGTCACCCTTGATCAGGGCTGGAATTTGTACACACTAAGTGATATTCGTTCCCGTCTTGGACACCAGAATGCAGTGATCGATGTCATCAAAATGGACATTGAGGCCTCAGAATGGGATGCACTTCCTCAAATGGTGTCATCTGGACAGCTAGAAAATGTGCGGCAGCTTTTGCTGGAGTACCATGTGGTAGACACTTCACATGAGTACTTGCTGCCACGGCTGAAAAGCATCCAGGCTGTGGAAAGGTTGGGCTTTAGGAAGTTTCTTGTGCATAAAAATGAGCACTGTGTGGAATATTTTGTAAAATACCCAGTGCCAAGAACCCACTGCTACGAGGTTCATTATTTGAGAGGTTAATCTATTTAATTTGTGCCTGTTGCAAATGAGATAATGATGAGTGCAATTCTTAACTTAAATATCTTTATTGCACTTTGGACATGACCATAAATGCTCCGATCTCCTCCTGAGTATGTCTCCCAGTATTTTTAGGGTTACAACTCCCATTCTGTTGTAGTTCTGGGTGGCGCCCGCATGGTTTTCCTGTCTTGATGTTCCATTTGATACATCAAACATGTCTGTTCACTGAAAAATCATTTTCCAAGAAATTTAAAACCTCACAGCATTCACTCTCACATGGTATTTATGATTTCTCTCCTGTCCATAGATAGCACATTCGAGGCATCTGCTGTCTCATTGTTTTTCACACCAGCATACCCATGACAAAATGAAAGTGATTTTGTAAATTACTGCATGCTGTGTATCAGATAAAGCCACTGTTTCTTTATATTCCCCACCATGATCTTCTGTAGAATGCTCATCCAGTCGCTGAGCAAATATGCATTGGTGAATTCCTGGGTGTTTAGCCATTCGGGGTCCTTTGCCACAACTATGACTTCCGTTGTGAATTCTTGGGTGTTTAGCCATTCGGGGTCCTTTGTCACAGCTATGACTTCCGTTGTCATGCTATAGTGGTAGAAGCAAAAGCTGCATGCCTACAGTTGGACTGGTATAAGTAAATTATATCAACACCAGAAAGCGCAGACGTTTCAGCAAAGGACTTCTTGTGCCTCTCATCTATAAAGGCTTTGACCGAAACGTTTGATTATTCCTGTGTGTGTTGTTGTTTTCTTTCCTCCCTTATCAAGCATTCTTTTTACAGTTTGTGTTCAGTGAATTCATTTGTAAAGGAGGGATAAAATGCGTTTTATATATCTCTGTCATTGAAGGTTAGAAAAAGAATTCTTGATTTCTACATACATCCAGTTTTAACATATGGCTGTGAGTCCTGGACAATTGGCAGGCCAAACAATTTCTTGATGCCCCAGAGATGTGGAATCAATGAAAGGAGGGATAGAGGAAGACAACGAGAGAAGATTCTTGACAGTATTGTTGCACAGCATGGAGGTGTGTCAGCACATGAACTGATACATGCTGCAGAAGATCACAGATTGTGGAGAGAGGCATGATCACCCAGGCCAGTCTGCAAGGCACCTGATGATGATGATAATGTTTAGAATTTCCTTGTGTGGCTGCTGGGGCTATTGTTGGAGAAAAGGGAATGGACCTAGTAGTGGCTCTCCCTCCCCACCCCCCCCCCCCCCCAAGCGAGCATATCATACAAGTATTCTAATTAGGGATATCTCCTGCATAGTTTGTGTGCATCTGCATGCAAGGCGAGTAATAGTCTTCTTCTTCTTCTTCTTCACTTCCTCTTTTACCGCTGTGGGTGTTGAGGGAGATATAAGGTTCTGTTTCTAGCTCTTCTGGCTGCCTCGACCATAGGCACATCGTGCTGTTGTAGAGTTTCTCTGATGTTATCCTTCCATCTTGTTCTTGGTCTACCCCGTGCTCTACGTCCTTCTTCTCTTTCCATATATGCTTTGTATGGTATGGTGTCACAAGGCATTCTCTCTAAGTGGGCAAACCATTTCACTTGCTGTCTTTGTATGTAATCTAGAATTGGTTCTGTGCTGACTTGTTCTCTTATGATCTCATTCCTGTTCTTATCTCTTATGGTCACTCCTACAGCCCTTCTCAGACATCTCATTTCTGTGGTTACTAATTTTCTTTTATGGTTTGTTGTGAGTGACCATGTCTGGCACTGGTAGCACAGAGTTGGAATAAATATGCTTTGAATAAGATGTCTCTTTGTGCTGATTGGGATTGTCTTATGCTGTAAGAGGGGGGCTAGCTGTCCCAATACTTGGTTTGCTTTACTGCATCTAATGTCAATTTCTTTATCCAATTTCTTTATCCAATTTCCGTTTGCACACAGGTAAGTCAGATCTGTAAAATGGATGTGCACAGAAAACTCAAGTTCTAGAACAAGACACAGAGTCCAGAAGTGGAGAGAGCACATCACAAAGAAAAATGGGTGGACAATCTTAGGATTTTGTGTGTCAGAAAATAGAAAGTCTTGTCATCACTAGAAAAAAAAAACACACGCTAAATACCACAGTATGAGATCTGCATATATAGGAATAGTTTTGACCCACACTAAATACCACAGTATGAGATCTGCATAAATGGGAATAGTTTTGACCCACCCTAAATACCTCAGTATAAGATCTGCATAAATGGGAATAGTTTTGACCCACCCTAAAAACCACAGTATAAGATCTGCATAAATTGGAATAGTTTTGACCACCCTAAATACCACAGTATAAGATCTGCATAAATTGGAATAGTTTTGACCCACCCTAAAAACCACAGTATAAGATCTGCACAATTAAAAATAGTTTTGACCAACATTAAATACCACAGTATAAGATCTGCACAAATGGGAATAGTTTTGACTTACATTAAATACCACAGTATAATATCTGCATAAATGTGAATAGTTTTTACCTACTCTAAATACCACAGTATAAGATCTGCATAAATGGGAATAGTTTTGACCCACGTTAAATACTGCAGTATAAGATCTACATAAATGGGAATAGCTTTGACCACACTAAATACCGCAGTATAAGATCTACATAAATGGGAATAGCTTTGACCACACTAAATACCGCAGTATAAGATCTACATAAATGGGAGTAGCTTTGACCACACTAAATACCGCAGTATAAGATCTACATAAATGGGAATAGCTTTGACCACACTAAATACCGCAGTATAAGATCTACATAAATGGGAATAGTTTTGACCCACACTAAATACCTCAGTATAAGATCTACATAAATGGGAATAGTTTTGACCCACGTTAAATACTGCAGTATAAGATCTACATAAATGGGAATAGCTTTGACCACACTAAATACCACAGTATAAGATCTGCATAAATGGGAATAGTTTTGACCCACGTTAAATACTGCAGTATAAGATCTACATAAATGGGAATAGCTTTGACCACACTAAATACCGCAGTATAAGATCTACATAAATGGGAATAGTTTTGACCCACGTTAAATACTGCAGTATAAGATCTACATAAATGGGAATAGCTTTGACCACACTAAATACCGCAGTATAAGATCTACATAAATGGGAATAGCTTTGACCACACTAAATACCGCAGTATAAGATCTACATAAATGGGAATAGCTTTGACCACACTAAATACCGCAGTATAAGATCTACATAAATGGGAATAGCTTTGACCACACTAAATACCGCAGTATAAGATCTACATAAATGGGAGTAGCTTTGACCACACTAAATACCGCAGTATAAGATCTACATAAATGGGAATAGCTTTGACCACACTAAATACCGCAGTATAAGATCTACATAAATGGGAATAGTTTTGACCCATGGTTTGAGTGATTAAAGTTTCTAATTTGTGTTTATTATAAATGAGGTATATTTTATGCTCAAAATTTGAACAGTCATTTATTATTTTTTTGACGATGTATTAAGCTTGAGTGGAGAACAAAGATATTTGTTTATTATTTCTTTAGAAATGTATTAAGCTTGAGTGAAGAACAAAGATATTTGTTTATTATTTCTTTAGAAATGTATTAAGCTTGAGTGGAGAACAAAGATATTTGTTTATTATTTCTTTAGAAATGTATTAAGCTTGAGTGGAGAACAAAGATATTTGTTTATTATTTCTTTAGAAATGTATTAAGCTTGAGTGGAGAACAAAGGTATTTGTTTATTATTTCTTTAGAAACGCATTAAGCTAGAGCAGATTGCAAGGGTAGACATATTATTATTTATTATTATTGCCTAAAGGGGAGTGCACAAATGATCACATGTTATTTTTTGGGGGGAAATGTATTGACCATAAGGAGATGTAACAGATAATCATGTATTATTTCTGATTGTTATTATTGACTTGCGAGGATTGCAGTGATAATCACAAATGTGTTCAATATGTGAAGATTGTAGCTGATCAATGATTTGTTTTTTGGAAATGAGGTCAGGCTAAAATGAAGGCAAAGAAAAAAATGAAAAAAGAACGAATGATTATTGTACTGTGTTATAATCATTTAACATTTAAATATATATGTTATTTGGGTTTTAATATGAGTCATGTTTCAAAGCATCAGGATTAAAATAATTCTTCTTCTCCTCCTCCTCCTTCTTTGTTTGCTCCTCCTAATGCGCATTAGGATGCTGCTACACCAGTAGACCACATTATTCTCTTCTTCTTTTACAGCAGTGGATTGTTGATTGGCCTTGTAGAATTGTCTGTGTGCTCTGTAAGTTAGTCTTTATTCTTCAGTGTTGTAGTCTTTATTCTTCAGTGTTGTGCTTGATGGCATTTTCTTCATGTGTATGTCACAACAAATGGTGAGATTAAATCATCTCAGCACCCAGTCTGCATCATGTAAATGTTAATTTTGTCCATGCATGCCAAAATATCTGACTGTGATACAGGTTGTACTGGCAGCCCACAGTCATCCTCATCATCAGAGTCAGGACTCAAATGGTCTGTTGGTTGAGTGGTTGGCATACATAGCCCTATAATATAACTCCTTGAAAGAGTGGCACTGGTAAAAACATCATTATCAATGTTCACATATTCCTCTGGTTCAGTGTTCAGCTCTTGATACAACCTAGCAAGTTATGGCTCCACTAAAGTATCAGTAACATTACTCTCATTGCTCGTTGATTGTGCGGAATTCTAATTTACTTGCACGTCTAATGCAGGTAAGAAGCCAGCTTGTCTAAAGCAGTTTGCAATAGTTGGAGGCAAAACTCTTTTCCATGAAGATTTTAACATTAAAACTGAAGTCAGCATCCGTATGACCTACAAGTGTTGACAACATTGAAGATCTGTAATTGACTTTTAAGGTTTTGTATGATACCTTGATCACAAGGCTGAAGTGTTGATGTGGCATGAGGTGGCAGAAACTGAAGTTCTGTTGCTTTCAAATTGTCAGTTCTTCTGTGGGCTGAACAGTGTC